CTCGCTCAGCCAGTGAGCGGCCTGTCTGTATGTGGGATCCGAACCCTCAGCGGGAGCGCCGTTGCGCTCCCAAGCGGTGCACTGTAGCAGTGTGCCACCGGGTCAGCCCCAGAATTGATTTTTTTAACTCCTAATATGGCATTTGACATTGGTAATCAATGTGTTAGTTCAGTTATTCTTTTCAATAAAATTGCATATGTAACATGACTATTTAGTATCGAGCCTGGCATGTACTGATTATGGACATTAATGCTGTGTTTTGTTATTATTACCTACCTCTCAGGATAAAGTTGCAGTACAAAGCAGCACCTTTGGGAGACTCCCTCCCAAGGCTCCAGGACAGGATGCCTCTGTGGATGACAACCCTTTTGGCACTCGAAAAGCCAGATCTTCCTTTGGCCGGGGCTTTTTTAAAATCAAAAGTAGTAAGAGGACAGCAAGTGCACCAAATTTGGGTACGTGCAGCCGAAATGCCTCTGCCCTCATTCTTTCAGAAAGAGGAAAAGATCAACCTCTTCCCTCCCCTTTATACATTTCTCTTTCTCAGAAATGAAGATGAATGACTTGGGGGGAATTTAGCAAAAAATGCTTCAGTGAATTTAATTTAATGGTGTGTAGATACATAAACTCTCACCCCGCTCTCTGTCCTGTGGTGTAAACTTAGTGGAAAGACCTAAAATTGTGATGCTCTTTGAGCTCATTATAGACAGTTTGCCATCTATTTTGATAGTGGGTAAAATAACATTGACAATCCCGAAGGAGTCTGTGTGTAACGTCGGAGGCACAGTGCGGTGCATGCCTTTCCTCCCCTGTGTGCATTCTGTAAGGAGGAGTCTGATCCGTGTTTCATTTTGTCATCCCCCTGTGTTCTCTCCATTGGGCTGCGTGTGATTGTGTGCGTTGTTGGGATATCTGAAGATCGTAAACGAAGTGCCAGTGCACCCACCTTAGGTATCGTACCCCTGCATGCCAGCCTTTGCCAGTACTGTGCTCCAAACCAATCTAATCCCCGCTCTTGGCATCTGTGATCTCTAGAAAGTGAGCTGGCAGCAATTAGAAATTTCAGTTCTCTGTTCCAGAGTGTGCCTACCACCTTCTGCTGAAAAGGACTCTGTAGAGGCTTTGCTTTCAAGCTTAAATGCTGTTTTAACCAATGCTAATGACACCTTGTGAGCAACTCTGAGAGGACCTAGAAGTGCACAGCCTCGCTCAGAGTGCAGGGTGGCAATGTCCTGGCATTGTATGTGCCAGCCCTTCCACCCTCGAAGTGCAGATCATCACACACTAACTCCCGAGTCCTGACAACCCCTTCTCCATGTTTATATTTCTCTCAGCCTCTGAAAAGAAATGTTTTTAGCCACATAGGGAGGTTTATAGAAAACATTGAAGATGATAGTTTTAGGCTTACTTCTCTTAGGGGAACATTATTCTGACGTTTTATTGCTTTGAGGATGGAGGTAATATGTAGTGACAACAGAGATAACTCTACATGTCATCTGAGGAGTTGCCCTCAAAGTGATTTTCGGAGAGGGGAAAGCTCAGTTTTCCTATTTGTAGGGCAATGTACAATAAAAAGTCCTCAAAATAAAAAAGAAAAATATGATACTTTTAAAATGAGGGGCACTTAGACCCATCATGGTTGTAGGGTTTGAATGGAAAGGCTCCTTTGGATTTTCCTAATACGTGCTATTACCTTGCATAGATATCCACATAGCTTCTGATGTGGATGAGCAAAAGTGATTTATCTCTTTGTAGCATTAAATATCTAAAATAAACACTGGATGCATGAAATAAACTGATCTATTCAGACAACTATTTTAAAATTATTTTCTGCATCTTTCTTAGAAGAACCGTGTTGTCCATGCTAAGAGGCAAATGCTGCTTACTATAACCTATAATCACAGCGCTGCTTCATGAAAAGTCAACTTCTACAGCTGTTGTATCTTGCTGAAACACTGCTCCTGTAATTTTTGTTCAACATTTTACTTTCCTTATAAAGTATAAAATCTCACATTGAGGAAAACAGTAGCCCTTGTGTTTGCTAGTATAGGATCATCTACAAAGGAACAGCAAAGAGAACTAGTTAATACTGATCTAGAGTGGCAAATCTGTATGTTATTCTTTTAAGGCAAAATCAACAGGCACTAATTTTATATCAAAAGGA